GAGGTCACTGAGCTGGACCCAAAACTCTTCTGTGGCAAGGCTCCAGGGGTGGATGAGATCCACCCAGAGTTCTTCAAGTTTCTGGATGTTGTAGGACTGTGCGATATTGTGTGGACATCAGGGGCAGTTCCACTGGATTGGATGACCAGGGTGGTGGTCCTCGATTGTCCTGGTAAGGTCTATTCAGGGATTCTGGAGAGAAGGGTCCATCTGATGGTCGAAACTCCAATTAAGGAGAAGCAATTTGATTTTCGTCCTGGTCATGGAACACTGGAACAGCTCTTTACCCTTGGGAGTGTCCTGGAGGATGTGTGGGAGTTCGTCCAACCAATCTACATGTGTTTTGTGGATTTGGAGAAGGCAATCGACCATGCCCCTTGAGGGACACTCCGGGAGTGTGGGGTACGAATGCATCCCTTTGTCACCGATTCTGTTCATAACTTTTATGGACAGGATTTCTAGGTGCAGCCAAGGTGCTGAGGGAATCTGTTTTGGTGGCCTAAGGATCAGGCTTTTTGCAGATGATGTGGTCATGTTAGCTTCATTAGACTGTAATCTTTTGCTGGAGTGGTTCGCATTTGAGTGTGAGGCAGCTGGGATGAGAATCAGCTCCTCTAAATCCATGACCATGGTCTTGATTTGAAAAAGGGTAGAATGCCTTCTCCAGGTCAGGGATGTGGTCCTGCCTCAAGTAGAGAAGTTTAACTCATTCACTGGTAGCCATTTCCTGATCACTGACGGCCTTCGCTGCCAGCGTTTCTCACAGTTTTTACTGTTTTTTTAAGAGTCACAGAACATTGCGCGCTAGGATGATGTCGATGCCAAAACTACCAAAACAAAGAGGAGACTCACCTCTTACATCAGGAAGAATCCTCGTGTTTCGAGCATTATCCGTTCTTTCATAATCCGTTGTTGAATTGTGATCGGCAGACGCTTTTCCGGTTTGTGCCTCACTTTTTTTTTACAGGAACGGCCCAAAACGATCTCCAATCACATGGATGTGTTGCTTCCTGATCGTGTGATCTGTGACATATGCGGATGAAGATTGGCTTCAGGGCTGAGATGTTTGTTCTCTCAGCGCGGGGGCTCGTTCCGATGCTCAAACAGTTAAAAAATGCAAATGACAACTTAAGTCATCAATGGCAGTGAATGAGTTAAGTATCTTGGGGTCTTGTTCACAAGTGAGAGAAAGGTTGAGTGTGAGATTGATAGGTGGATTGGTGCCACGTTTGCAGTGATGTAGGCCTTGCACCAATCTGTCATAGTGAAGAGAGTGCTGAGGCAGAAGGCAAAGCTCTCGATTTGCCGGTCGAAATACGTTCCAACCGTCGTCTATGGTCATGAAATTTGTGTCATTACAAAATAACTTTTATCTGCAGGATGTCTGGGCTCTCCCTTAGAGACAGGGTGAAAAACTCAATCATCCAGGAGGGGTTCGGAGTAGAACCGCTGCTCCTCCACATAGAGAAGAGCCAGCTGAGGTGGCTTGAGCACCTAGTTAGGATGCCTCCTGGACTCTTCCCATGGTGAGGTTATCCAAGTACATCCAACCTGGAGTAGGCCTAAAGAAATACCCAGGATACGCTCAAGGGACTATGTTTCTCAGCTGGACAGGGAACGTCTTGAGATCACCCTGGAGGAGCTGGCCCAAGTGGCTGGGGAAAGGGAAGTCTGGGCCCCTCTGCTTATAGTGCTGCCCCCACAACTCGAACCTGGATAGGCAGAAAAAACGAATGGATAGATGGATATTTATTTACTTGCTTATTTATTTTGCTTATGTATTGAGTATTGAGTAAGAAGTAAAATAAAAATAAGATTACATGTAATCGCACATGAGCAGTAAACTATTATTGTAACCTTCAACCACTAAAAAACAACAAATAAAAAGGAAACTTGGGTTTCCAGAATTATGCAGCATAATGGACACAGACATACTAATTAATGTACATCCGGTCTTGCACAAGTATTTAACACATACTGAATATTGCAATGATGTTATTGTGTAACAGGATAATGCCAGTACCAGTTAAACTGAGGAAATTATAGTTTCTTTAATAAAACAATGCCACCAGTTTGCTGCAAAGTTGAGCCGGCATCAGGGAGTCTTAGGTCATTAATAAGTAGTCAGATTGTGGCGGTAATGTGCTGCAGTCATGTTCTTTTCACAAAACATTATGCAATGGTGGTATGAAATGGGTATGGGGTGGTCTGTGCACTGCGGTGGACTTCCATTTATCTTGGACATAACTTGTGTTTTATTGCCATCAAGCCACGCTTATTGAGTGTTTTTTTTCAAGACGATCCTAAAGGTATATGTCCTCGACAGTCCCTGTGCAATCTCTGATGATCAGAGATCCAGCTGTCACGGAGAGAAGCTCCTGGAGTTCTGCATCACTCCAGTTAATCATCTCAGGTGGTTTTGTTTACAAAAGCAAAACTTTCTTCCCACGTTTACTTTCATTTTGAAGGTAGTTGCCAGCCGGAGCTCAGCAGTAACTCCCAACGTGATCCTGACACCTCCTTCTGTTGCGCCAAGGTGTAATTGTTGCGGTAATATTACTATCAAGCGTGGCAGCACGAATGCCACAAAATTCCCACACCGCCATGCCGCTACGGTGCACGCCGCAGATTTTCCAGTGTGGTGTGCCTTACTGCAGAGGGGATGAATGAGCTATGTTAGCGTTCTGATTTACATCTTGGATGTCTCAGTCCTCCACCTTTGAAGATGGTAGCACAAGAGGCATCTGCTGTCTGGAACGGTTGTAAATTTTTCTAACCTTTCCCTGCCATCTATATCCAAAGGTTCTCATTGGAGTTAGATCAGAGGAACACACAGGATGGTCCAAAAGAGTGACATATCTTTTCTCCTGGAAGAAGTACCCTGTCCTGTGGCCATTGTGTACTGTAGCATTGTCCTGTTGAAAACCCAGTCTTTACCACACTGACGAGGGGCCTTAGTCATTAGGGATGCTGTCTGCAACATTTGAACATAGCCAGCTGTTTGATGCTCTTGAACCTCCTGAAACAGTTTTTTTTAATGGCTGCCCACAATTCTGAAAGCACCTCTACTTTTCTCCATTATCTTACCAAAATTGGTTCTGTGTTCTGATACATCTGAACTGAACAGTTCATCTAGTCATGATACACCCAGATTCCTTATGTTCTCAATGACACACGTGGTCTTATTGAACTGGAGGAACAGGTGCCCACAGTTGTTACAAGACTTATTGTCCAAGCAATACTCGGCACACTTTTAAGCACACTCCTTCCTCTGTGAGGAGCCCCATCCATCATGAGGCCAGGACAGGACAGAGGGCCATGGGAAATGAAGTGTTGCTAATTCTATTAACACAAGGACACAAACAATCTGTGGGGAATCACAAAAGGAGGAAACTTAATTCCAGCTGACCGTCTTCCTGCTGCAGGAGCCAAAGCAGTTTGCCACGATAAGGCCAAAAATTACTGCACACACACACACACACACACATAAACACACAAGGAGCCTTGTGTCATTACCATGTCCACACTGATACCACTGCCCTCAAATATTTCTGTCTTTCTTTCTTTCTTTATTTCTCTTTCTTTCTTTCTTTCTCTTTCTTTTTTCTTTCTTTTTTCTTTACTTATTCTTTTTCTTTCTTTCTTTCTTTTTCTTTCTTTCTTTTTCTTGCTTTCGTTCTTTCTTTACTTATTTTTTTCTTTCTTTCTATTTTTCTTTCTTTCTTTCTTTCTTTCTTTCTAGTGGGGAAAAAGCACAAAGCTGTCTCGCTGAGCGACTCTTATGGGACAAAGCTGGCTTTCTAGGCATTTTGCATGTATGCATGCCATGTAGACAATGAGGCCTCTATTAGAGAAGCCAGCATCTCTGAGCTGGAACGGCAGGGATGAGAGATGTGGTCGAGAAAGCTGTGATTGGCACTAGAATCCGCCGCTTATGAGTATCTGCTTCCCAAATATTTCCATCGGAAATGCACGTGGAAGGAAGATGAAGTGGATGCTCTGACCTTTTCAGTTTTTACCGGCATTCTCATGTGCTATATGATGTCATTGCCACATATGCATGGAAAACCTCCTATAGTTTTTTGACTGCAAACAAAACAGACAAAATAAAACATTGCTCTTAGCCGCATTAACATGAAAAACTGCTTAAAGCAAGTCTTCACATTGTGTAATTCTATGCACTTGGCTAACTTTGCAATACTGGTGTTTGTGTGTGTGTGTGTGTGTGTGTGTGTGTGTGTGTGTGTGTGTGTGTGTGTGTGTGTGTGTGTGTGTGTGTGTGTGTGTGTGTGTGTGTGTGTGTGTGTGTGTGTGTGTGTGTGTGTGTGTGTGTGTGTGTGTGCGTGTGTGCGTGTGTGCTTTAATGTACACACACATACTGTAAGAGCACTTTTTTCCTTCTCCCATGTTGAACTAAATAGGACAGGAAGAGACAGACCTACAAACCAGACTGGTGCATTGTGTTAGTGTGAGCACTTCAGACATATTTGATTTTGGACTTTAATTTTAAGCTCAAACAGTGGACGTCCTGAACCACTGATCCACCATTCCTCCAACAAGATGAAGCACAGGCAGCGCTTGGTGCAGTGTTCTTCTCCACTGGCCTCATGGAGTGCAATAATAATATGTTGAAACATTAATGTTGCCTCCTTGAAGCAAAAATGTGAATTTGAATTTCTTCATTACTCCATTTGGTTCGAGCCAGGTTGCAAGGACACAAAGACAGATCCAGTGTGCTGCTTTGCAACCAACGCACATCTGCTAAACACCCAGCACATCCCTCATCATCCCCTGTTTTTTCCCTTCCAACCACCTCTCTTCTCTCACTAAACCTTGAGTTGTTCAGAGAGGTAAACATGTGCTAAGGGAGGTGGATGGTTAAGTTTTCTTTTTATCCAATAAAAATGTCTCCTTGCCAGATCGATTGTTGTTGCTAGGAGACTGAAGCATCCTTTGGCAAGGGGCTTCAGCTCTCCACGTCTGTTGTTTCCCTCCCCATCTATCTTCTTTTTTCTCTCGCTTTCCCTCGCTCCCCTCTCCCTCACTTTCTCTGTGCCCCTCGTGCACGCGCGCTCACGCTCAAACACTCGGAGCTGGCGCGCTGAGCAGTGGCGCCCATCCTCTCCCTCAGTGCGACTCCTCCGAGGGATCAGGAGTAGACTAAGTCAAACTTCCAGCAGCTTAAGATTTGTGCGCAAACTCTGAAGGATCGAAGTAGCCAAGGTAGGTCCAGTGCGCCACGTTCGGTTCTGGTGGGCTGCTGCTGTGAAGAGAGATCTAAGATTACAGGTTAAGGCAACAGAGTGCAGAGGAAAAATTGACAGTCCGAGAGCGTCCAGGCGCGTGCCAGACAGTCGCGAGGAGCAGAGCGATTGCTTTGAACTTTGCGCAGGATTTAAATACCCAGCTGTACTGCAAACGCGTAGTTTTCTTTGGCTGCCAGTAATCGCTGGTTGTATTTGAGCGGGTGGGATGAATTCCCTGGAAGCTAAGCTCTGCGGGAGATGCAGGAAAAGATACAAAGGGTGAAACAAAGAGTATCTGCAGTTGCGTATGTTAACGCTGCACCGAGAAGTTATTTGGGCTCAGACAAACCGCGCTGAGGCATGTCCCCCGACTTTGGGCGTCCTACAGGGAGACAGTGGAGAGTAGAGGGTCTCTAGGAACAGCCATACAGGTGGATCAAATAACTGATAATTGTTAATCAGCAGCATTACCCACCCAACACATTGCACCAGAGGAGAGGCGCATGGAGGCACATTTACAGCGATCAAAATGTCCAAATGTGACTCCAGATGTGGCGACTTTAGACCTATAGACTCAGATGAGCCGGCATCACAGGGTAGAACGTAAGTGTTACAGAATATGAAGTTATTGAGTAAGATGAGCAAATTCCTCCCATTTACTTGGTCTTCAAAAAACAAAAAGTGAGGCTGTTCCTGCAGTGCAGGTGTATGACTGACCTTACCTTTTCCCCTTTTGATTTTTTTATTATAAAAAGTTAAAATACATTTGAATCTCTCCTTTTTTTATTTTTATGTTATTTTTTAGACTGGAATGGTACAGTTTTCTGTACAACGCATTTTCCAGTGAAAAGTACAGGAGTAGAATGAGTGGCATGTCATGTTACAAAATCAGGACTGTCATCTCTTGTACAACACTTCAGTGTTTACCTATTCTTATTCTATTTCTACAGTTTTATTATAATAAGAAAGAAATGGGGTGCTGCCCCTTTGTTCAGAGCAGGGGTGCGGAACACCTGTATTTGATGCAGAACACATACACCTTGAATTACTGTGGACAATGGAAAAAATATATTAATCCTAAAATTTTGTTTTTATTTGTCTTTTATTTTTGTGAGGGGAGCATGTCTGTTTACATGCAAATATTAGCTCGTGTAAAAAATACAATTATTTACAAAATAACAGGATTTTTTTTTCTTTAACATTTTGTGACATTTTCATGCGATACTTTCATGTTAAATCAGGATGTTTGTGCACATGGCCAGACATATTGATGTGCTCAAAGTGTGTAACTTGTTGATTTGTCATGCACACAGTAGTTTCTCTGCTCTGTGAATGTTCTCGGTTTCAGACGTGATGCAGGAAGATGGTTTTGTTCAAAGTTGAGAATATATGTCATCATACTTTGGAACATGTGTTTGAATGTTGCATGAGGAATTGCATGTATATACAAGTAAATCATCTGATGCAAACAAGACTAATCTTGAATCTTTTACATTCAGTTTTGGTAAAGATGCTTATATTTGCTTCAAACTGCAAAGAACTTCATCAGTAGCAGTAATAAGTCTGCAGGGTGTTTGCATTTATTTTAGAAGCCATTGCGAGCAATAACTGGCTGATTTTATTGGTTGTTTTAATGGTTTTCCATAAAACATTTAATGGGGTGCTAATTTACTTACTGTGCCAGGTTATATTTCACTTGAAAATGTTTGCCATAGTGAAAAATTGCAATTATTTTAATGACATTTATAAAATAAAACTTATACATTCTATATTTCTGATGTAGGGCACCAATGCCAAGTTTTTCTCTGGGATCTTTTCCCCTGTGCATATAGCCTAAGATGGAAATCTGTTTAAGGATGTTTTGTTGAATATAGCAAGCCAGCACATAGATAGACAAAGAGATTTTTGCTGCATGAGTGGTTTCTGAAGTGCTGTGAACAGAATCTTCATCAGAATCATGTGACCGGTGTGAGTCTAACTCAAACAAAGCTCCATAAAGGGCAAATGTTTTAACAAAAAAGAACACCCATTTCATGAATATATTAAAAGACAGAGTGAAATGCGTTGCAACTACAGAACAAATTTGCTAGAACCTATAAAAGAATGTGACTTTAGAACATTGTAATAATGATTGAGATAATTGGGAACATTTAGAGTCAAGTACTCATTGTTATTACTTAGGAAAAACTATGTTAACGAAGAATGGTTAGCATTTTAAATGTGTTGCTGTTAAGATTATTTGTAACAATTATGTTTTAAGGCATGTTATTGCAACATTAAACAGATAGAAATGGTTATCAAAACATTGATTAAATCAAATACCATCCTTTTTTATATTGGGTTTAAAATATAATTGTAAATTGTAAACTATTTGAAGCTCTACAGGTGTTTCTATAGAGATTTGTATGTCACTGTCCAAGGTGCTGAAATAAGTCAGGCAAGTTGTGAGCTGTCTAGATTTAATTTCCCTTTATCACACTTTTTTTTTTGTCTTTTCCATGTGTCCATCAGCAGTGAAGAAACAGAAATGACACAATGGGATCTAATGACGAGATGGTCAAAAGAAGTCCAACACTAAAAAAACAGGTAAGAGACCCAAAATCTTTTTTTTTTCATGCAAACAATAACAGAACCAGATCTGACACACAAACAGGTCAATGTAATTTGTATCTGTACGGAGCTTGCATGTTCAGGTGTGTCTTCCAGGAATCCTATTGTATTTTCTAAAGTTTGGAGGACATTAGTTTAACAATCAGCACTAAATGGGATTTTCTTTTAGGTTCTGAATGTGATCTTTACTGATCTAATTCCAAAACAGAATTTAAAAACTTGATTAATGTCAAGAACTGTAAGAAGGCAGTGTTTCCGATCTTTTCTGTAGAGAAACATAAACTTTAGAAGTTTTTACTGTCCTTGATACTGGAGCACAAATTCATTGTACCTCTTTTATAAAAAAATAAATAAAATAAAAATACGTATAAATGCACATCCTAAATGTATTATTTATGAAGTATTTTCCTTCAGTTAAATCAAATTTCAATTACTTGCCTACATTCACAATTGAATGTTAACACAAATAGCTAATTAGCCTCTCTGATAGCAGCAACTTAAAACATTTAAGCATCTATATATGGCGAAGAAGACTTGCTGAAGTTCAAACTGAGCACTAGAAAGTGCCAGAAAGGAAGTGTCAGTGACACTTTCAGAATAATTCCAAATCTGTTGATGTATTGAAGTTTTAGGCTGTGCAGTGGCGCAGTGGTTAGAGCTGTTGCCTGGTAGCAAGAAGGTCCTGGATTTGCTTCCCGGCCTGGGATCTTTCTGCATGGAGTTTGCATGTTCTCCCTGTGCATGCGTGGGTTTTCTCCGGGTACTCAGCTTCCTCCCACAGTCCAAAAACATGACTGTTAGGTTGATCGGTCTGTCCAAATTGTCCTTAGTTGTGAGTGTGAGTGTGCATGGTTGTTTGTCCTGTGTGTCTCTGTGTTACCCTGCGATGGACTGGCTATCTGTCCAGGGTGTACCCCACCTGATTGCCCGTTGACCGCTGGAGATAGGCACCAGAACACACACACACCCCCACCCACCCCCCACCCCGCACAAACCTACGTGGGCAAAGCGGGTTCTGAAAATGGATGGTTGGATGGTATTGCAGTTGTCACCCACAGCTGTTGCTGCAGGGTTTGCAAACAACGGTCTAAAATCAAGAAAAATGATTTGAGTAACCATCATGTGTGGATGAAAATGCCTAGTTGATGTTAGAGGTCAGAGAGCACCACATCTGAATGCATTGATCATTGCCACAGACTGACTACAGCAGCAGAGGACCACACTGTCAGCTAAGAACAGGAAACTGAGCTGTGTAGTAAATGGGCTGTATTTGATATAGCACCTTCTAGAGTCATAGAACCCCCAAGATGCTTTACAACACAATCATTCATCAGTTCACACACACATTCACACCCTTCTGGTGATGAGCTACATTGTAGCCACAGCTGCACTGGGGCACGCTCACAGAGGCGAGTCTGCTGTACGCAGGCACCAGCGGTCCCTCTGACCACCACCAGCAGGCAAGATGGGTTAAGTGTCTTGCCCAAGGACACAACAACAGAGACAGACTGAGCGGGGCTCGAATCTGCAACCTTCTGATTACGGGATGAACACTTAACTTCTGTGCCACCATAATTTACCAAGAGTGCACAATAGGAGTTGGAAAAACCATTCCCGGGTCTCTATTTCAGCTTCAACATTCAGATGATTGGGTAAAAAATGTGTGTAAAAAATTTGTGTAAACGTGCAATAATGGATTTATCCTTCTTTGTATCAATGGTTCAGGATGCTGATGGAGTAAAGACGATAGGGAGATGTTCTTGTCCCTCTTTGGACCCCTTCAGTAGCAATGGCGCCTGGTTTAAATAACTGATTATTGTTGTTGATTTTTTTATTCTAGTGTTAAGTTCATTGTTCATTGATGTTAGCTTGGAGTCCTCCTCAAGTTCTTGTTTTTTTAATATTTTCTTACTTTTTCTACTGCTTTTGCGCTCCACATGTTGCCTATGCTGCTTTGCTCCAGTGAGAAAACAAGACAGTGTCTGGAAATAACCGCTGTTTCCTACAGTTTCTTTCTCATCATCTGCAGTCACACACTGAGCTGCATACAAACATACACACATTGTGACGCTGTTACATCCCCGACAGGTGTTGTAAAAATGTGAAGGATGGGGGTAACATAAGAATGGACAGTGGATATTAAGAGAATTTTATTGTAACAAAAAGGTTTTAAAAACGCGCGAACAGATGACGACGGTGCGTTATAAAAATAATGCAAAAACAGAAAACTCTGAAAAAGGTTAACATTACACAGCAAATTATCAACTATAAAACACCTGGTTAAAACTTGTATTAAAAGCTTAACCGAACAGAAGGTGTTTTAAAACCCTGAAGTTGATAAAAGTTCCAAAACAATCCACTGACTAAAAACACCTGGTAAAAACTTATTTTAAAAAGCTTCACCAAAACGAAGGTGTTTAAAACCGAGGTCAGTAAAATTGCCACAAAGTTAACCTTAAAACCAAACTGCAAAAAAGATCCCACAGGATCATCCAGAAACGTCTTATTAACAGTTATAAACCACCCCAAAGTTTAAAACTCATGCACATGAATCTAAAGGAAAGGGGTTGAAACTTGAAACTTGAAACCAAAAACCAAAAACCAAAAACCAAAAACCAAAAACCAGGAGGACAGGAGAACAGCAGAACCCCTGCACTGCTACCTCCCAGACTGCTGAAGGCACAGCCTTTTTATGCAGGTGTTGGCAATCAAGGAAGATGCAGCTCAGATGTGCTCCTCAGCAGCCCGGGAGTGAGGAGAATGAGGGACGGTGTCAGGCTGTTTGACCAGAGCTGGGTGATCCTGGCTCCTGCTCTTCCCTGGCCAGACTGGCAACCGTAACAGACGCATACACACATAGAGTGGTAGTTCTCTGGTGCCCTCTTGTTCCTGACATGCACAGACGTTCACACACGCGTACACACACTCATGGGATGAGGCAGTGAAAGGGCAGTGGGATGTACAGCTGTGATGGCGTGTCTCTACGAGAGATCAGGCTCTTTAATAAATGATGATACCAAGAAGAAAAATGATGTGTGTGTGTGTGTGTGTGTGTGTGTGTGTGTGTGTGTGTGTGTGTGTGTGTGTGTGTGTGTGTGTGTGTGTGTGTGTGTGTGTGTGTGTGTGTGTGTGGGTGTGTCTATGTGATGGGGCCTTGGCGATCATGCATTGTTTGCCATTAAGACACAGTGTCTTGTTTTAAGTATAAGGTGCACATATCTTTGCATTCTGACTTTAAGAATAATCTAAATAAGTGTTTTAAATCTAACTTCCTCTTAATTTACTGGAAGTTCCTGAATAATACTTAGCTGAACTCCTAAACTTTACCAGTGTTTGGAAATTTGATATTTAAATAACTACAGATATGAATGCCATGTGACAGTTTGCTGCAGCAGAGAATGATTGAGTGATAGAGGTTAATAATTTTACATGTTCCATTGGGATATTTAGTGATTGTTGCATAGATTTTGTGGATTTGTTCATTTTGTTTACCACAACTGAAACGTTTGATCACACAAAGGATTCATCAGCTCTCAATAGCCCCTAAAACATTTTGAATAAGATCAAAATGTTTATCAATGAAGCAGTATTGTACATGAATGAAATAGAATTTTTATTTTCAGTTTTTGTAAGCTTTTTGCAAAATTTTAATTTTACTTGAACTTTTTTTTCTAAAAATGTTAAAGATTCCATATCATGCTACTTTAACCCTTTGAGATCAAAGCACAGTTTATGATAAAATATTACCAACTACACTATTGAGATGCCCCAAACCTCACAATCATTATTGATGGAATAACAAATATTTCCTGATCATTCATTCATTCACTGATTTATTTGTTTGTTTGTTTGTTTGTTTGTTTGTTTGATCATTGGGTGTGCACAGCTTCTTTGATTAATCTTCATTGATTAATTCATCCTCATCCAGTATTTGGGCCATTAGTTTATTGGTTTGTTGTTTTGACAATATATAAACAAGATTGAAGAAAACAATCTAAAAATACAAATTAATTAATGAACTTTGGGCTGTAATTAATATTTAACTTTTGATTTATTCTTTCAATTATTATGTGATTAAATACATTAAAATATTTTCTTTCCATATCAATTTTTGAATAATCTGTATTTTCTTGGTCTTTTTAAAATCTTTAGAGAAGCAGTTTGTCATTTATATGTCCTAAGAGGTGGGCAACGGTGGCACAGGAGTTAGTGCTCGCCCCATAATCGGAAGGTTGCAGGTTCGAGCCCCGGTCAGTCTGTCACTGTGTCTTTGGGCAAGACACTTAACCCACCTTGCCGGCTGGTGGCGGTCGGAGGGACCAGTGGCACCAGTGCTTGGCAGCCTTGCCTTTGTCAGTGCGCCCCAGGGCAGCTGTGGCTAAATTGGAGCTCATCCCCACCAGTATGTGAATGTGTGTGTGAATGGGTGAATGACTGATTGTGTTGTAAAGAGCCTTGGGGGGTTCCAGGACTCTAGAAGGCCCTACATCAAAGACAGGCCATTTACCATTTACTATAAGAGATGCTTTATAAATAAAGTTTTACTTATTTACTTGCTATTGGGACAAAGTAACTCTCCGATTTTGTCCAGAGCATTATTTATGCACAACTTCATCTAACAAATAAACACTCAGAGAGTGGAAACGTATCACAAATGTTTTGTTCATTGAGTGAGGTGGAAACGAAACGTTGAAAGGTAAAATGCAACAGAAACTAATTGAGTGTAAGTAATGAACTGAGAAAAATCACATAGAATTTCACTACACATGGTTTAATCCAAGAGCACGGGTATAGAAAGTTTGGTACTTTTAAATAATATATTTTTTGTTTGGGGGTTAGAGTTAGGGTAGGAGGAGATAATGCAAAGAAGGATTCTCCAGAGAATCAAGAAAATGATGGACAACCCTGAGCATTCTCTTCACAAGACTGTCCGACAACGGAAGAGTGTCTTCAGTCAGAGGCTTCTTCAGTTTCGC